CTTAGTCTCCATTCAAACCCAGGTTTAAAGCCTTGCAGGGCAGCCTAAAGCCCACTGCTCTCATTAAGCCATAGAAAAATAAAATAAAAAAAAAACAATTTAAAAAACGGCCAGTTCAGGTGTTTTAAAAATATGTGAATCAGAAAATTGTCTATATACCGAACTGAACGATTGTTCAAAAATCACTTTAGATTTTAAAATGGAAAAAAAAAATCTATTTTTTTATTTAAAGATTCAATGTATAGCATGAATGAATAAAAACCTCATTTTATTTCAGTGTTAAATTCTGTTTAAAGTAACAGATTATAATTAAAAATGTCTCTGGACCTTTACTAATTGATGATTTTCTTTATTCGGACCCCGCTGGTTTTTAATTGGTTACCCCTGGTGTAGAGTCTGTAACCTTGCCTTCTAAATAAAAAAAAAAAATATATCACTTTCATCTCAAAAGAGGACTTTGCAACAGTTCAGTTCTTTTCCTGTTTAATACCAGTAAGACGCATCTGATATTTTCTCTGGTTCAGGACTTAAAACTTCAGACTCTGACTTAGACAGACAAACTTCAGAATTAGAGATAAAATTGAGTCTAAGTGTAAAACTCAATGCTAATTCTGCTTTGCTCCGTCTCAGTATTCCATGTTGCTTATGCGTCTTCTTCTGTCATAGGTTTTCCTTCCACTAAACTTTCTGATTAGATGTTTGAAAACATCTCTTTGTGATCAGCCAGTGTCTTTAGTGAAGTCCTTATGTCATTTTCCATCCTTTAAGAGAGCTTTAATGATTATTGAACCTTTATCAGGTCAGTGGTCTTCCCCATTATCACATAGACCACAATAGTAATAGAACGTAGCATTTCTGTCCTTAATAATGCTTTTGGATTTGTCATATGAGATATTGTTTTATCTGAGAAACAGAATGTTGACTTTTGTAATAATTTGTAAGTCAAGAAACTTAAAGGTATACTATGCAACCGATTTTCCAGCGAGGCTCCCCCCAGAGGACGAAAATAAAAGTGCACTGTCGTAAATATGCTCAGCTGTTCTCCTGGTTTCTCCGTCAAGCCAGGCGCGGTTGTTTTGAGCTTAGCAGACAGGCGAACTCAACGAATCACCATGACTACTGCGGTAAGTAACTATTTTTTCCCCAAATTTTCGAGTTTGAAAATTCTTGCTGGTTCCGCCATGATAACTGCACAAATATCGCCACTGCGCTAGCAACGGGCATGCCTTTCATTGCGGGCGTGTAGCAGTTCTCGCCGTAAAGCAAGACCGTATCTCGCGATGCACGAGACTTCTGAGCCTGTGGGTGCGGGCCGA